TGCACTATTGGTGGCTGACTAAATACTTTTTTGCCCCACTGTATATATATAAATATATATATAACAATACTAATTTTAAAACTGTTTTCATTAAGCAATGTTCATTTGATAAAAGTATTTATTATAGATTAAATGCTTTAATGAAAGAACATCCTTCAATTATTCAATTTCTTAAATAATAACAGCTGCGGCCTAAAAGACTACAGGTAGCAGTTAAAAAGCACCCTTAGGCTGACGGATAACTATGGAGCATCGGATCTTTGAAGGTGTCCTCCTGTTTCTATTCCAAACACTAGAACTTGGTCATTAATGAGTCTTTTAGCAAGATACTGATCCAAGCATATTCCAAAATCATCGAAGAAACTGTTCACCAAACACAAACTCTCCCTTTTTCTGAGGTTTTAAGGTCTACAGCTCATCAAAAGTCAGAGAGGATTATTTAACAGTGGAGAGCCAAAAGTAGGACACAGTAACCTGGAAAGCCAGATTGATCATGTGTAGCACTTATTTAAGCTCCACACAAGATAGATCTGAATGGGACATTCAGCAGCAACCTTCCAAGCTGATTGGGTGAAACGACAGCCAATAATGGTAACAAATGCAATAGCAGCATTAATAACTACAGCAACTAATAGTCGTAACACTCCTGCTGTTCTTCTTTCAAAGATGTACAGTACGTAATGATGGATTCTTACAAAAAAAAATGTGAAAGCAGCAGTTACACGTGCGCATGTCTTCCAGCACTGCGATGTTTATTTAATGTTCTTTATATTACGGTTTAAGTTCCACCTTAAACCATAATACTGCAATGTGATTGGTTGAATTCAAGCAGTTTAAGTGGGAGCTCACAAATACTGCGGGAAATTATATTGCATGCAAGGTTTGGGAAGCAGAACTTATTTTTAGCTATTTCTGATAGATGATTGTTACTGAATGATAAAGACAAAAATCTACCTTCAAAAACTTAGAGATACTGAGTCTGGAGGGAAAATAATTCACGATTCCTTGCTTTGTATCTTGCAACTTTGTTAAATGTTTTTTTTTTTTAGATTAAGATTAAGAGCTTTCTTTTATATAAAATAGCCTGTACTTATGTAGCCTTTTTAAGTTAAGCGGACCCAACAGAAGCAATGCTGTATTATACAGGTGCCACCGGAGCCTCTATCACTCATGGCAAACACAGGTGGGAACAGAAAAGCACCTTTCAGGATTTTGTAAAAAAAAAAAAAGTTACTTCTAAATATTTGATTATTTTTATCTGTCTAACTGAATAAAAATATTAAAAATAAAAGTAAAAAATATCTCAATTTTAACTGCCTAACAAGCTTTTATCTAATTCAGTTCAGTTATATACACAGTTTATTTAATATACTGAGGAACAGCAGACCTCTATTTTAAGGTGATTTTACTTAAAATACATGCAATAATCTGCCAGTGAAGTAAAACAATTGCTCTAGGAAAGATTTTGTAAAAACAGGACATATATTTCCCCCAAACAAATTCACCAAGTGTATTTAATGCACAGGCAGATTGTTAGATTATTTTGAGTGAAATATTCTCTAAATAAGATAAATAATCTAACAGAAGTGGTTCTAGCTTATTATTACTTATCTTAGACTTAGACACTGTTTATTGTCATTTTGTATACACAGAGTGTATACAACATCTTGTTAAGTATAGCTTTTCAGACCATAAATGAAGTACAGCAGTGGTTAAATGTTAAAAGTGATGGATAAAAAACATGGTGCAAAAAAAAAACAAATTGATATGGAAGTTGAGAGCATTAATATATTGACCTCAAACCAAGATCAACAAGATTTTTTAGATAGATCCAAAATTATAAGACTTGGATAGATTGACAACTTCTATGTTGTCAATCTATCAACTATCTATGGCATAAATATCTTAAAAAACAATTAATATGCCATAGATATAAAGTGCAATAAGTTACTAAAATTGATTAGTCTGTTAAATACCTGAAAAACCCCAAACATATTAAAGAATTTTACATGTTAAAAGCAATACTGCTTTTTAGTTAAATTTTATCTAATTGTTGTTGTCTAATTGTCTAATTATTACAATTAAACAAAAAAACAACAACAAAAAAACAAGATAAATAGAAAATATCAAACTTACTATTTCCCAACACTTAAAGAACTGCAAAGAATAGGTATTAAATATTTTTTAAGCTTATTTTGACTTTAAGAACTGTGTATCAAGGTGGCCGGAAAAATGAATGAACAAAACAAGCAGCTTAGCAGATTCCATAAAACATCCTGAGAACATTTCAAAAACCATGCCAACAAGGACTTAAAACTGAGTTTGTAATTTTGCTACATGGAGAAACTAGCGAACCAGCAAGACCCTCACTACATCACACATCACTATGTGCAGTTATTTATTTCAGTATCAAAACAGGTTTAACTTTGGCAAAGCATTCATGCAGGAAAAAAAAATAAAATAATAATAATGCTTTGCAACAGGAGCAGTGAGTGTATTAATGTGAGGTATTTTTCAGAGGCTGACCTGCAGGCTGAGTGCAGAACTCCACAGATATTTCCCTCTTCTCCCGCTGATCACCTGGAAGCTGCCAAGGCACCTGATGTGGCTGTGCGACAACCTTCACCTTGTAAACTGTCATGGACTTCAAGTTGAAAAACTTGTACCTGTAACCCCCAGCCTTGACCATGTCATACTCTGCACCGTTGAGGAAGATAGTGTGACTGTAGTTGCTGTTGCTGGGCATCCAAGACAGCTCAGCAGAGCTCTGAGTGATGCTGTCCACCCGCAGGTAGTAAGGTGCCACCACTACATCCTTTCCCACAAGAAGAGTGCAGCGAAGTTCATCTGATGGGCCGCGGTCTGTGATGCTCTGCACTGAAATGCGGTAGGTGTTGGTGGCAAGATTGAGCTTTTCAATAAGGGACTTTGTCCTGCCCCCGTAGGGGACACTCATCCGGACCTCTTTATCAACCAGCACATTGTAGCCACTGATGGAGCCCCATCCCGGTGGGACCACAGGAGGATCCCAGCCAATAATCACACTCTTGGCTAACTGCTTGATCAAGTTGATGCGGCGGGGATAAGGCACAATGTCTTCACCGACCTCATCAATACTGACATCCAAGGTTCCGGTCCCATTGCTGGAGGAGCCCAGGAGGTCCATGCCCAAGCTGCTAGCGCTTAAACAGTCCAGTTTACTGTCAGATAGCAGGCTGCTTATGCTTGTTCCAGTTCCAGTGCTGCCGCTCAAAAGTCGCTGAGGCCCCAGGCTACTATGGTTGAGGTAGCCCGATTCTTTAACTGTCGTGTCTCTTCGTTGGACAGACGGTGTTTCATCATCTTGAACAAATTCCACAAAATTTGAAGGGACGAGTCCCCGCTGTCCATCCAGCAGCTCCCCTGAAATAAATAAATGATTACAAAAGGCTCAGTAGTGTGACAAAGTAGAAAAGACAGAAAAACTTTCAAATTAGAGTTTACCTTCGTAAAAGCCATCCTCGTCCATCGTTCCGTAAACGTAGAGGTACTTCCCTGCCACCAGGGGGAGCTCTGCTTCTGGGTGCTCATTAGGCCCATCATATGGATTGTAACTAGAGTAATTATCATACATAAATTATGATACATTATCCATAATATGATCAGGCACAACACTAAGACCGGCAAAGACACTATGATGGGTCTGTGGTAATAAAGCATCACAGGCAATAAAGTATGAAACTCCGTGTCCTGACACAGCTGCATTAGAGCAGGCATAACTTCTAGTAATATGAGCTGCATTAACTAATCAGTTGGACTGAAGCTGGCAACTCTTTAACACTTGGCGACAACTGCTATCTTTCTTGTTGCTATTATGTTAAATACTGACCATTGCAGACCTTTCATACCCCAAAAAGAGCTGCACTTTTAGAGATAAATCAGGGAAAAAAATGAATACAGAGGCTGAGGGTTGCAAACATCATGCAAATACATTATTGTGTAGGAAATACAAAAAGTATAACCAATAGCCAAATTTAGGCCTGCAAACACTAAACCAAGCAAAAATGCTACAAAGGAGCATAATAAATGCAGCAAATAAAAAAATGCACCGATCATATCAAACAGGGAGCAGAAAAGTGCAAAAATGCTGCAAATATAAACCTGTAACAAAATGCATACTAAATGAGGTTTACACACAAGCAGCATGAACAAGCCCAATTAACAAAATACTGGAGGTAGCTTAAAGAACTGCAAGTGAAAAAATGTTTCCAGTTCGCTCTACATAATGGAAGGGTTCCAGAACACTAGGGGGAGACAATTATCAATGTGCATAGGACCAGACCATAGACTTTACTACGACCTACAGTAATGAGTCATTCCAAATAGTGCAAATCAGTAAGGACAACTATGCAAATGTGGAAATTCTTTGGTGGTTGGCATATGATAAATGCTGCTGAACACTCCTGGTAGTAAGGAAGGAGATAGGGAAAAAAAGCAGGATTTTAAGTAACCACTTTTCATTTAGCAAAGGGATTTATGAGGTACAATTTGAGGTATTAGGAATCAGACAAATTGCAAAGAAACGTAGATGAGATGCCTACCAAGAAGACATTTTGAGGGAAGAAAGAAAAGGTCCATCTGTCTTTGAACCTTTTTAAACATGTTTCTGAACATTGTGTTTATATCATTACTCCAGGTCTGGTTCCAAATGAGTTGATGATGGTTTCCCCCTAGTGGTCTGGAGCTCTTCCATTATGCAGTGCTTGTCTTCAGTTTTTCTTAACTTGCAGTTGTTTCCGCTACTTGCATTATCCCCTTTTATATTTTTTGTGTTTGTGTGTAGACATCGTTTAAGTTTTGCAGCGGGTTTGCATTTGCGGCTTGTTTGCACTTTGCATCTCTCTTTTTTTGTGTTTGCACCATTTGTCTTTTGCAATGTTTTCCTTCACGTGTGTTTTGTGTGTTTGCTAGTGCATGTCTCATTTTTGTCTTTGCAGCAGATCTATGTAATTATATGTATTTGCAGTGTGTTTGCACCCCTCAACCACAAATTCTTCTCTAGAGATATTCTTATTTCATTTACGTACTCTAGGAATAACTACTATGAACAAAATAAGCAGTTTCTATAGCAATATAAAGCAAAAAAGGAGCAACCATTTCCTCCTTTGAGCTTCTGAATTTCTGATTTTGTATTCTATTCTATTAGGTTAATTTTCCTCCTTTGCTCTGAAGAATAAAGAAGCAAAAATGCCATGTTAAATCAAAAGAGAATGTCTAAAAAAATATTCATGAAGTTAAAACCTCCCCAAAAGTTGCCTTTAATAATCTCACCTATATCTAGCAACACACAGACGGACCTTCCCTGTGAATCGTGGTTTGGACCTGGTAGTTGAGCTCAGCTCTTTGTCCATCTGAAAAACAACACACATAATCCGGCTTTCTGTGCCGCTGTGAACTAACCTTCACGTCATGTTCAGCCGACCAGAGAATCACATTTAGAGAAAAGGATATGGTGTTTTATGGGTGACAATATAATATCAGTTGCTGCATTTTTCATAAAAAAACAAACACATTTCTACAAAAATAAAGTATTCTCTAGACTAGTGGTTTGGCTGTTTTCACTTAGCTTTAAAACAGAGAGAGAGAGAGAGAGAGAGAGAGATTAGGTAAAAAAAAACACAAAAAAACAGAGCTGCTGATCAAAACACAGCAATAGTGTAGTGTTGGACATGCCTCTTGGTTCAAATATAAAACTAAAAAATATAAAACTTGTTCCTGGGAAAAAGCTTGCTTAAGGCTCTTGCCTATTTCATAGTTTAATTATCTGAAGTTAAAATTTTTCATTTCAAATAATAAGTTTGAAAAAGATGTTTCTTATGGAGCCCCTAAAGGGACATGGAGGGAAAAAAGAAACTTTTGCGAGATCCCGCAATACTTTTGTGAGATCTTGCAAAACTATTGCGGGATCTCGCAAAAAAGAAACTTTTGTGAGATCCCGCAATACTTTTGCAAGATCTTGCAAAACTATTGCGGGATCTCGCAAAAGTTCTTTTTTTTCCCCTTTAGGGGCTCCGTAGTTTCTGAACTGTTCTTGTGGGAAAAAACGTCTTGTACTATGTTGCTTTTTTAAATGTTCAAAATAAGAGAAAACCAAGCTAACTCTACTCTTTAAAAAAAACAAATAAACAATAAGGATTCATGCTGGAACTAAGCTTTGTTCTCATCTGATCAACAAGCTCTGTCTGACATGGATTATTTCATCGCACTTATGGATTTCCAATTCAACAGTTTATATTGTTATCAGTTTTATTTTGTTATCAGCATTGAGTGAAATGACTAATATTTTCATCTTAACTGTCTATAGCATATCCAGTTAACTGAAATATCCACCTTGTTTCATCATAGCACTCAGACTGGATCTGTCAGATTTGTTTTACTGTAGGGAGTAGACAGGATATGGAACAGAGGAACATTGGATAAAGAACCGTGGAGGATCAGAGCGGATACCGACGAGTACCTCAGAGAGGAAAGCTCGTGCTGGGCTGCTGGCTCGACTGCGACTGAGGAATGTTGGCTTGACGGAGAGGAGCTCGGGCTTGTCTCCACTGATCTGGAGTGGTCGAATGAACTCAGATATCAAAGATCTGCTTGTTGGACCCTCATTGCCTGTGGAACAAACGCCATCACCCATCAGATCCTGATAGAACAAAATAACAACTGATAACAATGTGATCAGTACATTACGTTCAATGTACTTAATGTACTGATTAGGTTTTTAATACAAAAAGGAATGAGACGCATTGTAAAGAAAATCTAACGTCTTCATCTGATCAGCATAAGTTTGTTTTTTTAATGGTGCATGGTCACGCTATTTCACAGTTATTAAATTTACTTTTCCTTTATTTTGCTCAGTAATTAGTAAATACTAAATACCATATTGATACTGATATTAATGATAGCAATGTTTATCTTAATCTCAACAGTCTAATTACAAACAATATTATAAATAGATAGATTGATTGATTGATTGATTCTTTCCTTGATGCTTTTTTCCTGTTTGAATTTGCTAGGATTGGGATTTTCTTTTTCCTTGATGTTCTGATAGAAAGCTCTGGGTTCACTCGAACTTAAGAGTTGCTGTAGATCAGTTAATTTAATTAATATCGGTTGACCATAATTGATGTTGCGCCGATGGCATTTTTTGGCCCCGATACCGATACCCGGCTGTGCAGTATCGGCCGCTACCGATACCATATGTTTGCAATTGATGTGTGTGAATATATGAAGAACTGCATACTACTTCGATGTCAAATAATTGCCATCATGGCTTTGTCAAGCTGCTGCCTACCTTTGTGAAGCAGGAAGAGGACTAATACAAAGTGAATCCAGTAGAACTTTTTATTGCCTACCAGGAGTGGGTGACAATAGTTGAATAAACTTTTGGCTCTCAAAATGGTATCGGTGCCATATTTGTTGGTACTCGCCGATACTGATACCACCATTTTAGTGGCTCCGCCCCAAACTGGTATCAGTATCGGTGCAACACTAACCATAATGAGTGGATGCTTTACTGTGAGGACTCGCAGGAGGGTTGGACTCTATTTAGTTTTCACCATCTAGATTTCTAATACTTCTGTGGTATTGTCAACAGATGGCTCCACATCTGTTTATGTTTGCTCATCACACCTGGGGCTGGAGTTCTATTAAGGCTAAATAAGAAGTTAAAACCGTGTCAGGATGGATGCTTGGTGTATATAGTCTTATTTCATCACAATCAAATGTTTTTTTTTGGTCTTTTATTGTATATAACCTGAAACATTTAACCAAACTGAGTTTACCAAGTGATGTGTTGTAATACACAGCTATAAGTTAGAAATGATGACCAAACCATTTTTGTCAACATTAATCATGAAGATTTTTCCCACCTTTCTCTGTTGGGGCAGCCAATCCATTGAGGAGTTGTGACAAGGATTTGTTGGGGGATCCTGGTGATTCACTCAGATTTATGGGTTCAGAACTAAGGATGTCAAATTTCCCAGCTTGAAGCCGGAACTTCTCCAGCTCCTTTGAGAGGAGGTTGAACTGCTCACTCTGGGACCGACATTTCTCCTCCAGCTCTCGAACTTTGGCCTGAGAGCGCCATGGGGGAGAGTCAGAGAAAAAGACGGGAAAACAGAGACACATGATAGAAGCAAGTTAAGAGGGGGGAACAAAAAGGTGCAAAAATAAGGGCTGCACATTAAGAACACTGAACATGCTGAAAACATGCTGAACTAATGTGCAGGCATGCAAATGAAATGTTAAATGGCATTAAATATCAGACTGATAACAAATCATAAAAGTGACATAATATTTAGCACTACAGAACAAACACTATTAATCAAGAAAAATGGAAAAAAATAACATTTTAAGTGAGCAAAATAATTAAATAACTAAATAAGTTACGAAACTTCAGTTTTTTCTTCTAATTATCATGTAAAGATCAAAACCAACAATTTAAAATTGAAAGCTGATTAATTAGTCTCCGCCAGAGGTATGTCTGTACGCTATTAAATGTCTACCTGAAAGAAAAATGTACAGGAAGTTTAAATTTGTTGGTTGTGAACTTTAGGAAGGATGCAGGAAGAAAAAAATGGTTATCATCCATTTAAAAAGCAGGAAAGGCCAAGGCACAAACTTCACATGACAAGCTACACAGTGTAACTGTGTGGGCAGTTATAAAGGTGAGTCCAGGTGCTGCAGCATGTTTTCACACATCTAATGATGAAATCCATCAGCAATCATTTCTAAGAGGTCTGAAGCTGAGACGCTCTGAAAGGCACTGGGATTTTATTTTTTATTTAACTTTTCCCACAAACAGCTTCAGTTTGGGCTGTTTTGCACATGCTGGACCCTTAAACATGCAGGTCATTGCTAAAAAAAAACACATGCTAGATGAAGACAAACAGATGGTTTACTAAATGCAGACACTCATGCTTAATAAAATTCACTATGCAAGGCTACAAAAGATGTAGAGGAATTACATTATTTTACTCTGTATTAGGTTTCAGAAGCAATGTAAATGTACATTTTATGGAAACAAAATATTTTCCATATTTGCAACACAAAGATAGGCCTTTTCTATATAATTTGCTTAAACATTCAGGTCTGAGTGTTTGAAAGCGGCACATTTCTTGAGTCTGCCTGTAAGGCTTCATATTAGGCTTCAAAGGAAACTGACCTTCCTTTTTTTCTTTTTACCAAAGGAAATGTATGAATATGGAGGAGCAGAGGACTAGGAGATGGTTACATGCCTTATTGGGAAAGAGATTTGGTTATGAGAGAAATGCAATAAGCTCGTCAGCTGGCTTTTGAGACACAGCCATCTCGAGAAGTGGATCTTGGGAAGAGTACGGACAAAGTCTGCTACTTTCGTCACAATGCGTATTCTTGCCTCCATCCCTCAATAAAAGAGTTTGGACCATCAGGACTCTCCCAAGAGCCAGGATGCAAGCTAAACCAAGCGACTGGAGAAGCAGGACCTTAGCGGAGGAGGACTCAGATTCAGACCAGGACTAATACAAATCGCTGGTCTGATGAGACAAAGATTGAACTCTTTGTCAGGAAAAAAGAATCATGATGGAGGAAACCATCTACAACTCAGGATGATGTGACCAACGTCATCGTGAAAATGACGGAAGCTTCCAGCCACAGAAACTAAACCACTAGTCAAGATAAATGTAGGAAAGTAGAAATATCTTGGATGAAAACCTGTCCCTGGGTACTGTTCTCCGAACCCTCGACCAGGACGAGAATTGGTCTTAAACTTTAAAGAAGTAGCTTTAGGTCTGTGAACGCCTTAACCAAGCTAGAGAACACTCATATTTAATTAAAAATCCTGGGAGAAATCTATAGATGGGACAAACATCTCCTAACCAGCCTGATGAAGCTGGAGAGGTTCTACAGATAGAGTTACTGCGTCATCAGTTTATGGTTTACTTTCTAAGAAGACTTAAAAAGCATCACATAAAGTTTTGAGTAAAGATTTTGAAGACTTCTGTACATTGCCTGTCTTCTGCAAAATGAAACATCTCTAACTTTAAAGTCATCAGGTATGTTTGTGTTTAAAATAAGATTAATTAATTTGGGAATAAAGCTGTAACCTAAAACAAGGAAAACTAAAGCACTGAGAATTATTTTTTGATACTCTGTAGGGATAAATCACTATTTTCTCTCTGAGATCAGGGCCTCCTTTATATTTTAGAGGGTTTACAACATGTTATTAAGCAGTCTATTGTCACTAAAAAAAACAACTTAAAAAGATGTAATGTCCTTTTCTAACAGGGGCACGTGGAAATAGTCAGGCTCCAAAGAGTTGTAAAGTTTTATAAAGAATCAGGTAAAGGGAAACAGAAGAAACTTCTAATAAACTATATAGTGTAGCTGAATTATTAATCACGGTCAAGTGAAACTGATATCCTATTTGTGCAGCAAGCTAAGCTAAGTTATAAAAAAAGAAATAAATAAAAAGAAAGAAATATGACACACAGCTTTCTGAAAAAAGCCATAAAGTTTACTTAAATGAAACCTCAAAATCTTCTGAAAACTGAAATCTGGTTATCCCAGTGTTATAAAACTAATAGTTAATAGGCTTTAGAGCACCTAACACTAAGATTCAGCTATACTGTAAGTACCTAATAAATAACTATTCATGCAGTTTGGTGACACATCTTTTCTCTAAACCCGTTTGACTGCATATTCTGCTGTACTATATTAGCATTGATCTCAAAAACATAAAAGGAAACAAGGAAGCAATTCTGAAATACCTGCATGCTGTCCAAGTGGTTCTGTTTAAGCATAAACATAGACCCATAGAATAAAGAGAGATGTAGGGAGAGAAATTAAATATTTCATCACTCGAACACATTTCCAAGACTAGAAAAAAAACATTTCAGCTAGATTTAAACTAACATACACACAGAATAAAATATCAAGAGATTCTTCTTCCTTTAACAAAAATGGTAATACAAACAGGTTCTTCATATGCATCCAAAATGCAAAACAAGAATAATTTCATTCGCAGTTTAATAAAATAACACATGACTTTAAGGACTTAAAAGTGAGATTTTAAAGATCAGAAATTCACCCTCAGTCAATTGCATGCAGCGGCCATACAAAAACATCACTCCCCCCCATCCCTCCCCAGCCCATGTCCAGACGCTCACCTCTAGCAGATGGACAGCGCCTTCATGTTCCTTTTTAGCCTCAACCTGAGCCTGTGAAACACAGGGGGCAGTTCACTCATGTAGCACTCTGTACTACAGTTTAAAGTCAGTAAACCACAGAAAGGCTTTACAAACAGTATAGAGGTATTTCAAAGGAACAAGAACTCAATAGAAAAATGAAAGACGTTCAAGTTACATCAGACTAAAAAAAAACAAACAAAAAACAAACAGCAAAATAAAACCACATAAATTAATTAATAAATCAGAAATCATGTTCACAATTGCCATTTCTGATCTTCCATGCATTTTATGGCTCTCTATACATTCTCACATCAAAGATTTCTAAAGCATTTGTCAGAACTTGTACAAAAGGAAAACAAAACAGTGAACAGTTTCCTCTCATACATCTTAAAAAATGAAATATACTAATAACAATCTATGGGACAAACCAGCACAAAGCATTTTGATGTGGAAGGAAAACATCTTTTTTTTAACATCCTTTTTTAGCCGTTTAAGTTCAACTTTAGGTATATATATGATGAAATGTGACCTTTGGCATTACAGAGTATTCATTTGTTATGAGGTTTTAATTGCTTTCCTCCAAATACAAAGGAAGATATTTGGCTTTATCCAAACAAGGTCTGAATTAAAAAAGGCTAAAGTGTGAAGATGAAACTCTGAAACTGAAAGAGCTGTAATGGGCAATGAAGTGGCCTACTTATGACAAGCCAGAGGATGCGCCTAGCTTTACCACACAGGTAAAGAAGGTAAAGGAAGGAAGAAGTAGGATGTAAGCAATGAATGCAGAAGATAGAAAAAACGTTGTTCAGACCTGTGAAAGAGGCATGAGTAGTAAGAGTACAATCCACAAAATTTGAAGTCTGTTTCAAATTCATTTGTCATTCCAAAAAAGTAAAAAAAAAAACAATCCACTGGACTTTGTTTTCAAGTTTGAAGACGTTTTGCTTCCCATCCAGGAAACTGTTTCAATTAAAAATTTCAGAAATAAAGTTGTGTTTGACGCTTTATAGAGTGGACCAAAAACAAAGCCTTGTTTTGGCTTTGAAAACATGCAAATTAAACCGGACGGGTCTGCCTCTTGGGAATGGGCAGTCGTTGGATTCTTTGTTAGCCAGCAATTAAATTAAGAACTGTTAAGTAGGAGAGTTCTGCCAGCGAAGACTAAGGCTGTGTCTGAACGTTTGCCCTAATCCCTACAGAGAACACTATATAGGGGTTACACTGTCTTATATAAGGACTGGAAATTTCCGACAAAGCACCTTGAAAAGTGATCCTCCATGGTCACTAGACAAACAGATATATCCCAGACTGCTTTGCGAGAGCTCTCATAGTTCAGTTGTTAGCCATGTGAAATGAGGTTTCTTTTTTTTCTTTTTTTTTATCTAGAGCCTGTTTCAATTATTTATAGATGTTAACAGTCTGTTTACATTTCAAAACCAAGTTAGGTTAAGTTTTCAAAATCGCATATAGATGCATCCATGCACAACTGCCATGCTCTCCTAAAGTCTATGGCAATGCTAGTGTGAGTGGCTAACTTCCCTTCAACTATTTAAACTCCCTGTATCACCATTGCTCTTTGAAATGTTGCCTATTGTTGTCTATGGAGATGCCAGAACTCTCTTACCTAGACAGCTCTGATTTACACAAGGGGTTTTTAAATGTTGGATATGACCATGAAGCTTGTCGCATATACTCAAACCCAGCTTTGTGGGGATGGAGCCTAAGAGAACGGGTACTGTTCCTGTGCAGAATAGCTGCTAAATAACCACCTCATGTCAACTTTATGCAGAAATGATTATGCTCTGCCTCACATCACTGCTCGTTGATTAGACAAAGACAGCGTGTTGTTTAGACGACAGGTGCGTCACATTTAACGTATGTTTTTCCTGAAGCCGGCGATTAGAGACAGCTCCTCCTATACCTTTTCTTGGCCATTTGATTTTTTAGGATAGGGAGCAGCTGCTGCTCAGAGAAGAGAAATCATGAGGATTACTCAAACATGCAAGAATTAAGTGAAATACCCCTTTGTGCATGTTCTGATAAGTAATAAAGAGATAGAATAGTTGAATATCCATTATGAAGGCCATTTTAACTTGCTTAATACAAGATATGTAATATCTCAAAATAAAATCTGCAAAATAAAATAAAATCTGGCACAAGCATTTGTCTTCAGAAGTCAGTCAATGTGCATAGTGTAATCTCTATAAATCCAGCTGTTATGTGAAGGTTTTTGAAGTGAATAATAGTAAGAAACAACAGGAATACCCAGCAGAACATTAGGTGGTTCTGAGAGAAATTTGTGGTGAAGATTAGAGCAATAATATGGTTAAAAAATATACATATTGATATTTTAAGTTGCTCCATTCAATCCCTCACCTCAGAGACAACCCTAACCTGAAACATTTGGTCTGTAAGCAAATTATGAAGAGCATACATGAACCACTACCACGAAACATGGTAGTGGTTGCATTATTGTTTGGTGATTACTTTTCACTACAGGGACACTGGTTAGAGTTAATGAACATTTAAAGAAGTCAAATGCATGATTTTAACACAAGCTGACTTGAGGCAGAATAAGATGTTCATCACAATGTAGCCTAACAACACTAAACAGAGCCAGAGCTATAAAATAACATTTTATATCACTGTCATGTGTTTAACTGCTCCAGTTAAACTCCAGACAAATCTGACAAGACCTGTTTAAAAACACTACCCATCAAATCTGACTGAGTTTTAACCCTTTTCAAGAATGAGCTGAAGTGTGCATAGTTTGTAAATAAATCTTCCAAAGGAGCTGTGCATTATTTTCAAAGTGTTGACTAAATAAAGATGCAAGCCACACCTTTCAGATTTCTTTGTAATGGAAAAAGGAATTAAAATATGTTTTCCTTCCACTTTACAGTTAAACGTGGCCTTCTGTTGGTCTATCCCTGAAAAAAATCCTAAAAAAGGATTGTAAATTGAAGTTGTAATGGGACATAATGATTGCATAAAATATACCATACCATTAATTATATACTTATTTGAGATTCTGCACCAAAGAACTGGAGATATCACAACTTTTGCACTGTTTGAAAATATATCAGAATTCCTGACCTTTTTTTATCTGTACTTTCTCTTAAACAGAAACAGACCGGAGTGCAGCTCTTCATACACAATAAATACATTATGAAATATGTTAATGGGAAGTTGACATATCTTCAATGCCATGCTAATAAGGATTTATAGTTTTTTGTTATGCGTGTTTCATTTCTTCCTTCCATTGGATAATTACTTGCTTTAGAATATTACTCAGTGGAGTAATTTAAAATAACATTTCCTAAGGCTATGCAAACAAACATAGTTTTTATCCAATTGAATATTATTTTTACATCAGTAATTACCAACACTTCTGCAGTGCATGTAGAAGAATGAGCCTTACATCATAATAAAACACTCTGACTGCAGAAAAATCCCCACCATAATACATGACGTTTCTCTTGCGTTAGCTACAAACATCTGTTTCACATGATTATGAGAGCATGTGTGGACTTTACAGTATGATAAATCTCCTTTGCAGGATAACATTTTAGGAGAACACAGTGAGCAGGCAGTGTTTGAAGGACGATAAGGCTGTAATGAGCGTCTGTTAATGAGAAATAAAAAAATAAAAAAAGGAAGCTGAAAGCTACAGCCTGTAAAAAGCTGACTGTGAAGTCAGGGCGCTACAGCCACAGAAACGCTGTGGTAGAAAACTGTTTTTCTAGAGATGGCGCTGGTGACAATTCCTATCACGTTCGCACTATCAGCAATCTCAGCCACTGCTGGGTTCGCTGTGACATTACAGTCAGCTCCAGTGCACAGGAAGGGAGGCTCTACCATCAAGTGGCCGAGAGAGGCTTTTTGTTTTATTATTTTCTGTCATATCTACTTTGTGTCATGAATGACCAACGAGGCTGCTCAAAACAAGCGGGAGGAGAGTTCCTGAAATGTCAAAAATTTCTGAGTTCAGTTTAGGCACTATTGGAGCTGTGGTGATAAAATCAGAAAGTGAAAGATTGTCACCTATGGAGAGAGAAATCTGGATGATCCAAGGACTATCTTAGTGAAGTTTTGCCTTTTTTTCTTACAGAGTATATATTACAGTAGTGTGCACTGAAATGCTCTTTGATCTATGACACCTACTAAAATTAAAGCAAACAGCTACAATTAAAAAGGCCGGCCCTCTGGTGATGTGAGCATTATACATTTAGACTTTACTTACCTTCTGCAGAAGGTCAATCTCCTGCTGCTTTGCATTGAGGACAGCCAAGGCCTGCTCATGCTCCAACTCTAGCTGCTGCCTTCGCTCTGCAGCCTCTCGCATATGCTGTCCACAAAGGATGTAGGGATGGAAAGCCAGACATAGAAGACATCAGGGGGAGGCGGCAGAGAGGGGTGCTATTAGTGGAGCAAAAATCTAGCAAGTCTCTTCTTTCCAAAAAAAAAAACAAAAGCATCTCAAATCTTTACATTAATACATTTATATAAGCTTATTATCAAATGAATAAATAGAGGTTGGGTACCAAAATAACTATATCTTTAACGACAAGAAAGACAAACTGCATGTAAGGCAGAGTAAAGAATAATTTAAAATCAATTTAGCAAATTAATGAAGACTAGAGATGCTTTGCTTTTTAAGCAAATTCAAAGTACATTTCTTGCAAAAGCTTTCATAACCTTTGAACTTTTTTCACACTTTGATATCTTAGTCCAGGCATCCCCAAAGTCGGTCCTCGAGGGCCGATGTCCTGCAAATGTTAGAGGTTTCCCTGCTTTAGCACAGCTGATTATGATGATTGCAGTTGAGCAAAAGCCTATTAATCAGCTTTGAATTAAGAACATCAGTGCCGGAGCAGGGAAACCTCTAAAACCTGCAGAACAGCGGCGCTTGAGGACAGACTTTGGGGATGCCTGCTTTAGAACCACTGAATTCATTGCGTCAAACACAGTTATTTTATTTATATCTGAAAGTCTAGGGTTCATGTATGTTAAGCCCACTTTAGTCTCATGAAGCCACTGAACTAAATCAAGTTTAATGGAATCAAATTGCCTTTAGACATTAAACGAATTGTAGATAAAAAGCAGCAATTAGACTTTTGCATCTCTTTAATTCAAGACCAGAATGAATTTAGCTGCTCCGTGAAGGTCTCAGAGGTTAAATGGAAAAATCTGAGAACATAAAGCCTCCCAGAGATCAGGGAACTTATCAGAAAAGAAGATCAGATGAAAGAGTTTGTTAATCTGAGAATCAGTGCTCAGATTGTTACATGAATGACCTCTACATATAAAGAGGAAAACTAATACGGCACATAAACCTTAAAGAGAAAAATTCCTATAAAGGAAAAACAGGAGGGGCCGAATTTTTCTTTCCGGGTTTAGTTTTTCAGCAACAACAGGAAAACTTATGCTGGGAGGATGTGTTTAACTAAATATAGTGAAATCTTAAAAGATCTGAAATCTATTAATATAATCATTATACCGGTAATTGAATAATAACTGAGCTTTCGTAATCTCACACTGCATTAGAACTTAGATTATGGGTCTTGCTCAGGGACCCAGATTACAGGCTGTGGGGAACGAACCGGGTACTTGCAACCCTCTTAGAGCAGACCACTAGGCCATCACTCCCCCAATCCATTAGTAGGATGCAAGAGACTTCCAGTTTGTTTACTGGGACATTCTCTTCCACTGGTGTCTTTAGAATAATAAATTAATAATTAATAAATTACACCCAGGGTTTCCCCCCTCCTGCCAAGGTCACACTGGTTGGGTCCAACTTTTTTAATCTCAAAGCTGATTTTCTTCCATTTTACACTGACTGCAGTGCGCATGGAGCAGTGATGCCAACTCCTCTGCAATTATTGGCTGCCTTAAAGGCACTAGATGATGTCATCACCTACTTTGCGTCTTATTTCATCTCACAGCAGGAGGAGATTCCAAATCACGCAGCTGGCTTTTTTTTCCTTGGCTATCAAAGCAGCACCACAATATTTGGATTACCAGAAAGGAGAACTTGTGGGGATTTTAAGAGTGATATCTTTTATCCTCTCCACTGTAGCTACATGCATGCTCTGTATGAGAGATTGCTGAAAAAAATTAAGGTCAGCGACACAATGCAAGCAAATGTCTCCTGTTAATACCTGCTAATCAAGGAGGGTTAGATAGAAAGCTTTTAACCAATATGTATTCATGATTTGATTGGATTGTTACGACATAAATAAAGTATGAAATACACTCACCGGCCACTTTATTAGGTACACCTGTCCAACTGCTCGTTAACACTTAATTTCTAAGCAGCCAATCACATGGCGGCAACTCAGTGCATTTTGGCATGTAGACATGGTCAAGACAATCTCCTGCAGTTCAAAGCGAGCATCAGTATGGGGAAGAAAGGTGATTTGAGTGACTTTGAACGTGGCATGATTGTTGGTGCCAGAAGGGCTGGTCTGAGTATTTCAGAAACTGCTGATCTACTGGGATTTTTACGCACAACCATCTCTAGGGTTTACAGAGAATGGTCCGAAAAGAAAAAACATCCAGTGAGCGGCAGTTCTGTGGGCGGAAATGCCTTGTTGATGCCAGAGGTCAGAGGAGAATGGCCAGACTGGTTCGAGCTGATAGAAGGGCAACAGTGACTCAAATAACCACCCGTTACAACCAAGGTGGGCAGAAGAGCATCTCTGAACGCACAGTACGTCGAACTTTGAGGCAGATGGGCTACAGCAGCAGAAGACCACACCGGGTGCCACTCCTTTCAGCTAAGAACAGGAAACGGAGGCTACAATTTGCACAAGCTCATCGAAATTGGACAATAGAAGATTGGAAAAACGTTGCCTGGTCTGATGAGTCTCGATTTCTGCTGCGACATTCGGATGGTAGGGTTAGAATTTGGCGTCTACAACATGAAAGCATGGATCCATCCTGCCTTGTATCAACGGTTCAGGCTGGTGGTGGTGGTGTCATGGTGTGGGGAATATTTTCTTGGCACTCTTTGGGCCCCTTGGTACCAATTGAGCATCGTTGCAATGCCACAGCCTACCTGAGTATTGTTGCTGACCATGTTCATCCCTTTATGACCACAATGTACCCAACTTCTGATGGCTACTTTCAGCAGGATAATGCGCCATGTCATAAAGCTGGAATCATCTCAGACTGGTTTCTTGAACATGACAATGAGCTCACTGTACTCAAATGGCCTCCACAGTCACCAGATCTCAATCCAATAGAGCATCTTTGGGATGTGGTGGAACGGGAGATTCGCATCATGGATGTGCAGCCGACAAATCTGCGGCAACTGTGTGATGCCATCATGTCAATATGGACCAAACTCCCTGAGGAATGCTTCCGGCACCTTGTTGAATCTATGCCACGAAGAATTGAGGCAGTTCTGAAGGCAAAAGGGGGTCCAAACCCGTTACTAGCATGGGGTACCTAATAAAGTGGCCGGTGAGTGTAACTCCCTTACCTAATATTGAAATAGAGCTCAATGAATCAAGTGGTTGCAAAATGACAAAATGTGAAAAGTTTCAAGGGACATAAATGCTCCTGCTAGTCATTGTAAGTACTTGAACCTCCAGGTTTGCTGCCACCTTTATGTATCACATTTAAGGTCTGGTTAATGGGAGTCTTTAAAGGTTTTCCTCAGAGATCTTGTCTTTAAATTATGAAACTGGAGGCTTTGATGTGATATTAAAAGGTAAAGCAAACTGTGTAGCGTGCTCATTTGCCTGTGATCATCCATATCAACCAAGGAAGCCATACAAAGAAGGGACTGAATGCTAGGCCCTTTATGACAAAGGATGCCTGTGACATCTAGTCGCATCATTGCTTCCAGAATGTGTAGATCATCGACCCTCTAAGGTGAAAGAAGCAAATGACTTTTTCATGCTAGTGAAAATCAGGTTCTAAAACAGGTAATGTCATCAAACTTGTAGGTGACATTTTTATTGTGAATGGTGACCCAGCCTTTCTCTCTCCTCTTCCTCCCCCCTTTCATCATAAAGCCAAACTCTTCATCCTGCCTCATGCATAAATCACATTCCACAGTGCTGTGTTGTTAATCTGATAAACATCACACTGATAAAAGGAGACAAAAGCACAGCCACTGACATAAAACATTAAGGAAGGGAATAACTCAGGCTGCTCCCAAACAGGTGGCCATAGCAGTGATACCTTAGAGATCTAGCAGGGGGGAGAGGGGATGGGGAGAAGGAAGCAAAAGATCCAGTGAAGTTGGAAAACATAAGAGTGACATAGGCAAGTAAAGAGGGCAGACTGCTTCCAGCTTGTGCTCTTTCACAGCTCCGGCTCAGACCTCCCAACACGGCACTGGAAAGCAACAGACATGTCGAGGAAATTAGACACTATGGAGGAACAGCAGCATATGGAGGCAGGGGGAAGGTGGGGGGCACAGGTAGGAGAGAAGGTGCTAGAAGAGAGTTAGGCTCCTTAAAAGGTACTGAATTAGAGCCCTGGATGGAGCGACTACTTGATCCAGAGGTAGACAGTTGGCAGATAATTGCATCACTTGGGTGATGTTTTCCTACCTTCAGCACCTGCTCTAGGTTCTCCAGTTTGCCTTGGAGCTGGTTCTTCTCCCACAGGGCTAAATCTCTCTCCTGCGTCACAACTCCAAGCCGCTCTTTGAGCTGGGCATACTCTGATTTCACCTGTTCAGATGGGAAGAACAAGATACGGAGGAAGCGAAAATTTGAAAGACCAAAAGCATCAAATTGGTAGATTCTTGCTTTAAATCACGATTTCAGGTTTTGCCAAATGACATCTGTATTTTGTACCATACTGTTGTATTGTTACTTTATATCTATCTTCAATTGCAGTTCATAATTAAGTTTTCAATGAATTTAAGAAATGAACACACATAAAAAAAGCTTTAATCTTAATATTAAATCTCTGCATTACTTCTAATTTCTATTAACTTTCTCTAAATCATCTTTTATTTTGTTAGAATCCTTTTAAATATAAAAGATCACGACTTCCGATCGAACTAGAAGAAATATCTGAACAAACCATTTCATTTAGACAACAGTTTGTTTTGCTTTGTTTTGTTTTTGACCATTAGTAGAATAAAGATATTTATTTAAAGTAATCTCCTGTCAAATTGGTAACAAAATATTCCCAAAACGGAGACCAATTGACACTTGACCGGTACGAATGGCAGGCACCTCCTTATTATTGCAAAAAGAAATATATTTTAAAAAAAGATAGCGTGAAAAAATGAGATCATTACAGGAACTGCGGAAAAGTTGCTTCTGCTGCCTTAAAATTGCTTCTTAAAAGAAGGGTTTTCACTCTGTGATAGCTGTCACCAGATAAAACTCTATGACAGTGTCTGTAACAAATGGATAACCACACAGTTATTGCGCTCATTTTTCCTTTTAAAAACCTTTTTGTTTTGGGACTAACTGACTGCAGGATTAAACATCTCATCTTCATGCCTGCTTTGTTTTGTGACTTTATCAAGCATGGCTAAACATTGCAATACAGAACAAATCTGTCCTCTGGCAGACAAAAACTTGCAAAAGTCTTCATTCATCTTCCTCTATGTTTTCATCAGGATTTCTCCACATTTCTCAAGCCCGGATTTTATTATTAGTTGGAAACCTGCCTTTCAGCTCAGCGTGCATGATAGATCAGTACAACAGTATCAAGAAGAAATAAGCATGATGTGTGGCATTAGGTGAGCTGGTATATAATAACAGTTTTTTGTTTTTTTGTTATTATTCATCCCATAGTAAACGATGATGTACAGTAGAAGTAAGAAGCAGGTTTTAGTGCCCTGGAAATATATTCATATTCCAGTTTTCCACACTTTTGGTCATGTTTTTTGTTGTGTTTAAGTTTTCTTTTTGAGTTTTCTTTGGATTTATTTCTATTTTGTGTTATTCTATTTCTTTTTTGTTGGATTAGAGTTCTTATGTACTTCCTGTTTACTCTCTGTTGCTCTCTTGTGCCAGTCTCCCTCCCCCACCCTCCCTTGTAGATTCCTGTCCACACCTGTTCCTCGTTTGCTCAATTAGTCCTCTCATTGTTTCTGTCTCCCATATATACACCTCCTGTTCAGTCACTCTTTCTCTGCTCCTCATATGTGTTTTCCCTGACATCCCATGGGTTTTGTTCTTTCTGTATTTTTTTTTTGTTTTTACTTTTTTTTTCAGTGGCCACCTTTTGGTCACCCTTTCAATGTGATATAACCTCAGATTTCAATGTATTTTATTTGACAAACTAATCAAAGTTAGGGGCAAAATATGTTTTTATTAGTTTGTTTTCTTTAGGAATAAGTCTGAAAGTTGTAGTTCAGATCTTCCCACTTTATAGGCTTTATAGGACTACCCTTCACTTTAATTATAACAAGTGTTTTGGTGCTTGTCTCTTCCTACTTTTGCACAATGAGGTTAAAAATTTTCCATTTTTATCAAAGTAGCTAAAGCTTTTTTAATGAGCAATTAGAGATCACCTTTGAACTGCAGCTTTTGAGTCTAACCACAGATGTGTAGTTTAGTATAGCTCTGGATGTAAATGTCTTAGAGGGTTAAAAAAACACACACAGAAACTATTAAAATAAAAACTTTTTAATGACCCTCTTGGCTGCTTCTTTAAGACATTGTTGCATAACCAAACCCCACTTTAAATTTCTCCACCTCTTCATCCCTGACCTGTCTGGCAGGATTTTCATAGCACAGTTTTTTCTCTAATTACAGAACAGGCTTAAGTCGCCTCATATTTTTTGAAGCCGTATGACACCTAACTATTCAAAAGTAGTTGTCAGTTATGTTGGCTCACACTGGGGCCATCTGTAGTTGGAGAGTTGATGGTTTTTAAGTACCATGGAGGCTCAGCCTACTAAACACATTGCAAGTCAAAGACCCACCTGTTGTTGTGTATAGCTTTTGTGTTTGGCGATATGAATCACGATGAATGTGCTTGTGTAACCTCTGTGGAGTGAGTTCCAGGATCCGTTTTAGCTGCTTGGTTTTGTGGTTGCAGAGATTTTGCACATGCATCGTTGTTCTCTAATAATTTTACAACGAAGCTCCGAGGGCTTAAAAAAACAGCCTGATTTATACTAAAACAAGATCATACACAGATGGACTCCATTCAGGAGGACGATTGTAAAGCAAACTGTTTGCACAGGATTGCTTTTGAACAAAGCAGGATGAAAATAAATCCGTGCCACACTTTCCAGAATGTTATTTGTGGGAAAACAAAAGAAAAGCATTTATATTTTGTTTCTGATGATGTGTTGAATAAAAACCAATCACATTGAAGTTTGTGGTAAAGTAGAAAAATATGATGTTCAAGGTGAAGTATTGAAGGTTTATTGAAAAAAATCCACTGAAAATGAATAAATAGTTCATTTTTTTAACCAGTGATATTTTTTAAGACGGTATTTAATGCCATAATCTAAAGAAAGAAACCAGATCTAAAATGCTTCCACTAAGTCTAAGCAGCAGTGCTTGTTCTCTCTCTAAAGAGGGAGTATTTTCAGTCAGCACTTTTAATGGCCCCTAATCGCCGCTAAGTTGACTAGCCCCTACAGCTGTAATGTGGTAAAACCCCGTCCTCAGAACAGCCATGAATGACTAATGATTCCTCAAGGAGAGAAACTGTACAAACACTAACAAATCAAAACACACTCTAGTAAGTCTGCTTGAGCACATGGCCTCACAGTACCAACCAGTCAGTGTACATAAACCTACCCCTCTACCCTGACCTTGGCAGTCTGAGCTCAATTATAGAGGAAGCAATAAAAATGGGTTTGTTAAAAGGCAGACTTTTATATCTTTAGAAATCACAGGAATCCGCCTAAACAGATGTTTGCAAAGGACAAAACCTGAAATGTATTTTTTAAAGCAGCTTGAAGTCATCCATGCGCTGAAACTTCATATTTTAAAACTGCAGTTTATAAAAAGGATACTTAGGTACTGAATAAATTAATATCTGATATAAAAAATGATGTAGTAAAGAAAAATTCTACTATTTTTAAGAATATAAGGAAATATTTAAAGGTATAGTGGAGGATGCTCTTTTTCCGGGTGGATCATCAAAATAAATGGTCCTCCTAATTGTCAATCATTCTGGTGATATGTTTATGTAAGGCCTAAATAATTACTTGCCGGTAATTACTTCATTGTTGGGTAATTACAAATATAAAGTTTTTTCTTGTTTCAAAGTGAGGTCAGGGTAACCTTGAGGGGCAGTGAGGGAAGACTGCATCATCCTCCGGAGAAAAACAGCCTTTGGTCAGGCTGTCTTCTCCGTAAGAGCATCTCAGCAATGGAACACAGTGCCAGAAACCATCAGAGACTCTTTGTCATTCTTTTCATTCAAAAAGAATGCAAAAAAATGGCTTGTAGAGAGCCAAATTTGTGGGCACTAAGGTTTTCTGTGTGTATTTAAATAATTTTACCATTAATTTTTTATTATTTTACATGAATTGTGTTTCTTAACCATAATGTTTTTTATGCAATTGGTATTGTAATTTTATCTTGTGATTTGATACTTGTGTTTATTTTTAAGGTTGCCTTTTTTATACCTGGCTGGGTGACTACGGATGAAAATTAGCACTCCTTATTTAACTTTGGTATATTTACATTGTTTTAATGTTGATTAATGTACACTGTCCCCTTTCAAATAAACAATAAATGAAAAAATAAATGAAAATAAAGTAAATTAGTGTGACTTGCTATGTTATTATCGTATTATTATATGGTTATTGATGTACTGTTAAAGAAAGCGTTACTGAATAACCGTTTAAAATGTTATTCATGATATGAAAAAGGTATTTCTAATCAAATTTATCAATTTGGTTTTTGAATTTTCTTTTAGAAATAGGATTTGAAAATACATTCCTCATACACACAATCCTATTTAATATTATATATTTAAGATGTTAGAAAATTAGAAAATGCTTTTCACATTAGAATGAAATTGTCTGATTTAAATGTTAAATTTAAAATGGCTGGATTTCTTTTTCAGTGACTCTGTAGGTCCTCCATAAGCTGAAGCCAGGTTACAGTATATCAGAGAAAGCGGCACATGGCATCAAGTGCAGAAGACCTTGATCTATGAAGTAAAAAATACTAAAAACTGAACTGCAAGCTAAAAGCTTTGTGAAGATGTATTTGAGTAGGGAGAAGCCTTCTATAAAGCTCTTTCACCTCTTACCTTTTCATACTCAGATGCTTTGTGGCTGTTGTTGAACCACTGAAGATTCAAGTGCTTGTTCTCCTGCAGGAATTCTTGAAGTTCATTCTCCTAGGCAAGAGAGTCAAAGAGAAAGTAATGCTTACAACCTGAAAAGTCGCCATGATTAGACAAGAGGAATGCACTAAAATCCAGTGTTTTGTCAGCAACAACCCATCCATTATTCATAAGGAGGCTGCTTCAGGGTCTGTGGTTTGTGCCGGGTAGAATAACTGAAAGAAGCTGCCATTTCAGTCACCCCGCAGCAGAACAATGATATTGACATATAGGTAAGTTTTATGTCAGAGTTTTAAACATGCTTTAATATTTGTGTAAAGAAACCCGGATAAACTGTGAAGCTTTCCGCTCTCACACATTCAAATCATGTGTTCCCAGTGCAGAGTAAAAGAAAACAATCTCTTCACTGCAGAGGAGGAAAACTAATTACATTCAATCAACAAATGTGAAGTGTGCCATGGAAGCAATTTTCAGTGTCGACTGTGGGGTTTTCCACGACGAGCAATTTATTGCAGCTACAGCAGCATGTTAGCCAATTGTTGTTGTTGTCAGGAGCTAGGAAACCCACAGGCTCATGCATGATACATTTACTGTAAAATGGTGCTTCTTAATGGCCTGGGATGGTGAGCCTGCTCCGGCTGCCTTATGTTTTACTTATGAAGGACGCTTCAGAGTTGAATTCGAGATGAAGGTAAACATGAAAGAAATAAATTCATTCTGAAGTACACTTGTTGAAGAAATGAAAAGATTAAGCTTTGTTACTCTGGGGATTTATGAATGATGTTCATAAAGCCCTGTAAAACTGTAGCCTGTCTGCTTCTAATATTCATACAATCACTACAAAGACAAAACGCAGAGGAGAAATGCTGTCAAGGACGAATGCAACCATGTAAACAGCCTGAAGACTGCAAACATCCCAGTCATCAAGCTTTGTATTTACGCTGGCATTTGCGTTCATTGATTTATCATTATTTATCAGTTAGCTATCAGTAAGAATTGTTTTAGTTTTTTTTTTTTTGTTTTTTTCATGCTTTCACAACAACAACTAGCTCCCTCCTTCTAACACATGCCTTCATTTGATTGTGTTATCTGGCAATCAATCTTTCACATTTTGAACCATTTAGCCTGTTCTAGTTCGCTAAGTGGGTTCTTTTAAGATCAGGGATTTTTTTAACATATCTATCTGATTTCAGATCACTGTGATGCTGTGTAACTTGAATGTTCTTACCCATAAGGTTACAAAGGTTTAGCAGGACGACAACGGTTTTGGATGCAGGAGTTCGTCGGGCAACTGGAAGGTAGATGGTTTCAACCCCAGCTATGTCCTTCTCAGTCATCTTTGTACAAGACAATTTGTATGCATTGCCTACTGATAGTGGTCAGAGGGCACGATGGCGCCAGAGTAGAGCAGCCTCACTTCTGTCAGCGACCCCCCAAGACATCTATGGCTATACTGGAGCTTTCCATTATCAGTGGGTGAATGACTGGTTATAAAAGGCACTATATAATCCGTCTTTTACAGTTGCTTTTTGTATCTCTGCTTCTTTTTGTGTCTCTGCTTCTGTCTCCTTGAACCCCAGTCGGCCTCAGCAGATGGCCGCTCACACTGAGCCTGGTTCTGCTGGAGATTTCTTCCTGTTGAAAGGGAGTTTTTCCTCTCCACTGTCGCTACAGGCATGCTTAGTGTGAGGGATTGCTGAAGAGTCAATGAGTCAATGCAATCAACTGGTTTTCCTTAGATAGAAAACTTTGAATCAATTTGACTGTATGGTCTTTTGAACTGTAAAGTGCCTTGAGATGACATGTGTTATGAATTGGCGCTATAGAAATAAACTGAACGGAACTGAATATAAGTACAAGTAGAAAGCAGAATTTACAGTCACATTACTTATGGACAGCTTAGCTAAAATGATATATATCTTCCAAAAAAGTTCCTTTTTTGTCTTACCAAACAGAATAGTTGACATTAGTCTGGAAGATTATTAAGATGCTTTTAGCAAAGCTTAAATGAGCCTTTGTGATGCTATTTTTTTTGGTAAACATGGGCTTTCACCTTGAGCTCATGTTTGCCCTGAATCTTTTTTAACATTGAGTCATGAAAACTGATGTGAACTGAAGCAACCAAGGCATATACTGCCTTAGATTTCAATCTGGATTCTGTTGTCAGCTCTTTGATAACTCATCAGTTTGCTCTTGGTTGGTTACTCATGGGAAGATTCACCACTGCTCACTGCTTTCTCTACCGGTGGGCAACAGTGATCACTGCTGAGTGTCCCAAAACCACAGAACAGGCTTTAATAATTCATTTTTTCCACAGAAGGGGTACAGTTTTTTACTCAAGGACACTGGTTTATATGAGTTTTTGTATTCTTTCAGGTCCTCTTTACTGTCACTGACATAAGGTTCACGTTTATATTACTGCTATTGTTTAAAATCCTTTCCACATTCCACAGACAGTGTCAATCGAAAGACAATCAGCTATGTCTTTGTGCTGTCGTGTTGCCGTGTTAACGCTGTAAACAGATCAATGTAAGTCATAATCCCTTGGCAAGACACATTTTTATGGAGAGTCTGTGCGCCCACAGATGGAACAAATGGCATGCAGAAAACACTGCATCCTTCACTGGGCTGCTTTAAGCATTATTCAGCTGAAAAACGCAGATTTTCTGCTGAGGCAGATTCGCTTGAATACTAACATGAATCTGAATGAAAAGCAAATGCTCCCAGAATGGTAGGTTACAATCAAACAAAAAGCCAGGATCAACCAAGCAGGAATAACAACATTATATTCATTTATAGATATAATAAAATCTTCACTGTGCATTGCTATTCATTCTGCAGCTTTTCACAAGAATATGTCTTAAGACTAACAATGAACATGGCTTTCAGGATGAAAAATGGAAGAAGTTTAACATGTTATTGAGTAGGATGCTTCTCTTTTGTTACCCATATCAAAACCACAAAAAAAAAAAAAAAAAAAAAAAAAAGGGGGGGGAAACTATAACCTCAGGAATTCCTGGCATTCAATCTAACCTGATAAGCGAATGATGAAGAGGCAAAGAGCGCATGGAGGAGTTTCAGAGATCCATAGCTCAGTTGGAATACTCTGTCAGCAGGGCAACTAGAGGTGCACTCCATACTGTAAATGTTTTTTTTTAAGGGATGAAAGTCACTTTTGAAATAATGTCTAAAATAGTTTAATTGGCAGTTCATTAGAAGTTAGGGAAGTTGCTTTAGTGAGTTGAGACCAAAGTTACAATTTGTACGACACTAAAGCTCCTCACAGTAATTAAATAATTTATGTAAGTCTGCTTCATATTGTGGTGTCAAAAATGTCTATAAT